CCATCCATCCATCCATCCATCCATCCATCCGTCCACTTTCTCCATCCATCCATCCATCCATCCATCCATCCATCCATCCATCCATCCATCCATCCCATTGATTCGCTTTAGCTGCTTTACCTTGTAGTCGAGTCACAAGAGACTGAACCTTGTCGGTTTACAACCTGGAGACAGATCGCCGGTTCATGACAAGGCCAACACAAAGAGACTGACAACCATGCACACATACACCCACAGCCAATTTAGAAACATCAGTTAACCCCACATGCGTGTTTTTGGAGTGAGAACAAAAGCCGGAGCAAATGCAAACGCCACACAGAAAAGCTCCAACCAGCCAAAAGGTTTGAAATCAGAACCAGCATACTGTGAAATGTACGTGCTGCCCAGTCTGTACGCCGTTACCTTCATATCCTATTGCAAAAACCATCAACATGGAAGCCTCTTATCTGTCATTTATTGTGGATATATTGGATTTTTGTTGTAAAATATCTACAGAAATGTCACCAAACTTGTCCCAAAGCAATCACTGGCAAAATAAAATCCAAGATAAATGCTAAAATGCTTTAGGAAGCGCAGCAATGTAAAAAAAAAAAAAAAAAGACTCCATTTCCACCAGATTGGGGTTAATAACAATGAAAATTGCTCTGAGTGGAAGGGAGCTGACAGATAACAGATGAGTGCTTTATTTCCTATTGTAAAGACCAAAAACATGTCAGCCTCTTATAGCTGTAATTTATTGTAGATATTTTGGATTTTTCAAGCAAAGTGTCACCAAACTAGTTCAGTGATATAATCCACTGCTAAATGGAAGAAGAACAAATCAGCTGCAAGTTGTGATCGCTCTACCTGGTAAAACAATAAAAAAATATGCAACAAAAAAACATCTAAGTCGAAGCAGTTTTTTTGTTGCGTCACCGTGGTATTCCTGGGTGGTGCAGTGGTTAGCGTTGTCGCTTCACATTAAGGAGTTTCTGGGATCAGACCTTCTGTTTGGCGTTTGCCTGTGTGGGCTTTCTGCAGGTGCTCTGGCTTCCTCCCACAGCGGGTTAATTGGCGATTCTCGACTGGGCTGCATGTGTGATTGTGAGCGTGCACGGTTGTCTGTCTCTTTGTGTTAGCCTCGTGACGGACCGGCGACCTGTCCAGGGTTGCACTCCGCCTCTCGCCCACTGTCACCTGGGAGAGTCCTCCCCGTGATCCTCTATGAAAGATACAGCAGGCATCACTAATAGATGGATGGATGGTGCTCCCAGCAGGTCGTGACAGTGGAGCGTTCGACCACTGTTTTCCATTGTCACATTACATTATATGGAGCAAATCGACGAAAGGAGCATTGATATCCTAAAATATGATGCTTTCTTATTTTGACTTCCTTGTGGCGCCGTGTTTAACAAGCTTCATACATCACCTCTTCACAGATGTCATAAACATCTGCACATTGATGAATTATAGAAAAACAGGAGTGTGTCATAGCCATGGGGTGGACAAGGGAACTAAGAAAAAACGCAATAATTTAGCAAAATTCTGCTTCGTCTGCCTCATAATGTTCATTGAATAATGCGGATTAATTCAAAGTTTTGACAGTCCTGCCTCCTCATCCTTGATGTTTCCTCTTGTCTTTCAGCTTGTGTAAAGGCAGGACCCTTTACTCCGTGGTGCGGGATGCCAAGGTTGTCCTGGACGTTAACAAGACCCGACAGATCGCACAAGAGATGGTCAAGGTAAAATAACTCAACGGTGATTCCCCTGAACGCTTCAGCAGTAGGTAATATTACAGGACAGTCACTCTCACTCTGTCTCTCTCTCTGACCTCAGGGGATGGGCTACCTCCACGCCAAGGGGATCCTACATAAAGACATGAAGTCCAAGAACGTGTTTTATGACAATGGCAAAGTTGTCATCACCGACTTTGGACTCTTCACCATATCTGGGGTTCTGCAGGCTGGCAGGTAATTATGTTCAATACACATCAGAGGCAGAAGCGCTTTGTTTAGCAATACGAGAATTAGCCTTGGAGACAGACTGGCATGGCAATATTGACCCGTATGGTGCAGGGACAACAAAACCTTCAGCGGATGTATTGGGCTCTATTTACTAAATAACAATATGTGGGATTTGCTCTTTTATGTGCTCTGTCACCTGCTTGTTATCATACCTCCGTGCAGGCAACAGCTGTAGCCGCAGGCATTGTGCCTTTGGGTTATTTGTACTTCCTATTCTCATAAACAAGAGAGAATTTCTTCAAATTTGACACAGCATTTACTTTACCGAAGCATAAACTGACTATATTCTGGTGGCCAAAGGTCACCGTGAGCTCAAAAAATGCAGTTTTGAACTGTAACACAAGCATTCATATGCTAATCAAGACAAAATTTAACAAAATACAAATTATTTCTACATTAATTCAAAGACTGTTTAATTATTTTTAAATTGCCAACTTAAAAATATGTGTCTACAAATTCAGTTTTTAATCAGCTTAGATACAGTTTTGCTCTCATTAAATGTTGTTTCCAACCTTTGTTTTTCCTTCAAAACCAAGTCCGTGCCGTGAGTGTAACGTGCTGCAATTCACACAAGTGCAACCATTTAACTTAAATTGATGGAGATTACTTGTAAACCATTTGTCTTCTGTCTTCTTTCTTGTTGCCATGGAAGAAATTGCCACCGGTTTGCCAGAGGACACAAACAGTGTTTAGGAAAGTTATTCAACAGAGAGAGAAAAAAGGTCGGCAGTAAGTGGAGACATTCAATAGAGGCTGGGTGAATTTTTCTTTACGGTCAGTACAAACAGAAATGTCATACAAAGAAAATGATGGATCACACGCAGTCAAAATGCCATAAACTGGCTCTCACTCCACCAACAAATGGAGTATTTTTTCTGTAATTTGCCGTGTCGTGGCTCAGCACACCGCAAACCGCACATTGTATCTGCCCAAGATTGACCTCATGAGACCAAAGCTTTTCATCAGCGTCCCAGAAAATGTGTGGAGGCTTTTTGCCAGTGAGAGCAGGCTCCTGAATACACCTACACCTGCATGCACAACAGGATTTTATTAGTTTTAATATAACTACATATAATATAGATGGTAGGATTCCTAAGCAGATTACATTGCTCTATCAGACTTGAACAGTATTTTAAAAATCATATATTTATCCCAAACCCCCAGGTCCACCTACTCCAGATATCTGGTTAGCGTTCTGAAGGATTATCCGAATATTTGACACATTTTTTGGAACCATCAAAACATTGCTCTGTCCCCTTCACTTTAGAGGAGCAGCTCAATATTACAAGCAAGAGTTTATTTGCTGTTCTAGTGAGATTTAGTTCATGAGATGTAAATTGTTGTATTAAGTATATGAAGAAAAAATGTCTACAATAAATTTATTCTTGCTAGGAAGACAGTCAGCGGAAGTCTAATTGAAGAAGCTGCGAAATATTACTTGTGAAATATTAATACTTATGTATTATGTACATAATACATTACTACTTATTTATAATATTTTATGAAAGGAGCCGCAAGTCAAGTAGTCGCTGCAGGACTCTAGAGGTGTTTGCATTGAGTCGCACTTTCTGGCAACTTTGCCCAAAAACAGTGTGACGTCTGAATTCTCCAGATATCCTGTGCTACGTTCACCCACTATGCTCGGCACAACTCAGGAATAATCACTTGGACACAATCTAATCCATAAACTAGCTCCTTTAAAAAGTCCCAGCCAACCTTTGAGAAGTATAGTATCCTGTGTTATTCCGTTTTCCCCTATGAAACATAATGTGACTGTTTGCATTGCAGACCAACGCATCACTGTTAAAAGTCCACTTTGTTCTTTGCACGAGGACTGAAACACGCCAGTTAACTTTTAAGTATCATTCACAAATAGATGAAATTAATCATTAAACAGCAAACGAAATTTAAACAGAATTCAACATAATTACATTTTTCAGCTTGAGAAATCTATTTATTTTCTGTTTTGCTGCAGCTAGCTAAGAAGACCGACACCGCCGACACATTTTCATTATAAAACTAACATTATGATCAGCAGTGACTTAGACTGGGTTAGCACAGAGGTCGGCAACCCGCAGCTCCAGAGCCGCATGTGGCTCTTTTATCCCTCCGCTGTGGCTCCTTGTGGCTTTGGAAAATAAATAATGAGTATTTCATTTAAATTTGTTTTGTTTTAGCTTGCTAGTTTTTAAAATGGGCTGCAAGGTGGTGCAGTTGGTTAGCAGACCTCTGATAGACTGGCGACCTGTCCAGGGTGTCTCCTGCCTTCGCCCTAAGTCGGCTGGGATAGAATCCAGCCCCCCCATGACCCTAGTGAGGATTGAGCGGTGTATAGATGATGGATGGATGGAGTTGTTAAAATGTAATTGTAAATTTGAAGATTGTGCTGATCTTGTAACATTAAAATAAAACGTGTTTAATTTTTTTTCAAGTTATTTTTTTGGCCTTTGTGCCTTTATTGGATAGTGTTAGTGAGAGAGAGACAGGAAAGTGGGGGAGAAGAATGAGGAGAGGACATGTGGGAAAGGGTCATGAGCAGGAATCGAACTCATGACCTCCACATTGGGACTGTAGCCCTGTACATGGGACACCAGCTCAACCAGGTGAGCTATAGCGGTGCCCTTCGTGTTTAATTTTTTTGTCACCTGACAGCATGTGCAATGTTGCCAGCTCGGCGACTTTCTCGCTAAATCTGGCAACTTTCCAAATCCTCTTGCCGACTTTTTGTTTTTTCGTCAGCAGCGACTAGCAACAAATCTAGCAACTCTCTCTGGTGTTTTGGAGACTCTGATGTGAAAACACTTACTGTCCTCAGCGAGCAGCGGTGCTGCCGTGAGCTCCCCCCGTCCCGAAGCACTCACAGGCGGTCAGGAGTCTGGTCAGCAGTCCCAGCTGCAGTCAGCAGGACAACCAGATGTTATTTTTACTTTGCTTCAGGTGGATAATTTAAGTTTGGCTTTTTATTTCAGAAATATGAGGAGGACTCAAATAGACATTGAGTGTTTTATTTGAAAGTAGCCTTAAACCCAGTGTCTTTTTTTTAAAAAAACTGTTTTTGTTGCATGCAGGCATAACATTTCATTTTCACTGATGAAATTGAAATTCATTGATTTCATAGATGCAACACACAATAGTTTTTTATACATAGCATAAAGGCAAAAAACGATATATGCAGCGTTATGTTCATTTTAGATGTCAAAAGGGTTTTGTGGCTCCCGGTGTTTTGTTTTCGGGAAATGGGTCCAAATGGCTCTTTGAGTGTTTGAGGTTGCCGACCCCTGGGCTAGCATATAGACCAGAAAAGCTAGCCTGACTCTATTCAGAGGCAACAAAATAAACAAAATACCTTTAAAGCTCCCTGAAAGTCACGTATGTCTCATTCCATGCCTGGCAACGTCACTGTGATGACAAGATTCCTCAAAGTCAAGGTGTCCAGCTCTATTTCACCAGGAATAGTTCAAGATCATAACAGCCACTGAAAGCAGCAAGCAACTTTTTCGTTCCTGTTTGTGTCATCATTGTGAGCTTTAGAAGTCCTGCAACTCACGAATCTATCACTTTTCTTTCTGTTGACATCTGGGAATCTGGCAATAACCAACGTAATGTAAACTGAGCGGCTCTGTCTATCCCACTGCATGACTGGACCTAATATAATGTAGCATAGATTTTACATAAACAAAAGTGCCAGCAGGAAAAGCCACACTTGTGTATATTCTTGTTGCATTTTGAAAACATGACAGCAGCCCAGATGGAGTGAGATGATGACACGCCTTCACTCGTCTCTGTTCCTTCCATTTACATTGCAGCGTTACGACTCAGTGGGTTTCCATTGCACGATCTGTACAACTTACATTGTGCAGGCTGCCATCAGCACTTGATTAGAACCATCCTGCAGCTTGGCTTGCAACAAACTTGTGTCATTAACGCGCTGCCGTTTTTAATAAATGCATAATAAATGTGAAAGATGATGTTAGTGAAATCAGTTTGAAATGACAGCGATGTGCCACCGATGTAGCTGCTGATACACAACAAGTATTGCGAGTTATTTACAATGACAGCACATTATAATGAAAGTACGCCAGCGTCACGGCTCAGCAGCATCATACAGCCGATCGATAAAACCCTGACAAGTCTTCATCTCCACGTTTTCTCTCCCTCTGCAGCCGGAGAGAAGACAAACTGAGGATCCCCAACGGCTGGCTGTGTCACCTGGCGCCCGAAATCATCCAGCAGCTCTCTCCGGACACAGAGGAGGACAAGCTTCCTTTCTCCAAACAGTCAGATGTCTTTGCTTTTGGGTGAGCGTCCTCTTACCAGATGCCCTCCTGTTTGTTTGTCTAGACAGAGCCGGGGGTTGATTGCACAACCGAATCCCTAAATGCGTGTGCAAATTCAGTAAATGTCAGCCAACTTTTACGGAACTGTCTCCTAAAAAAACTCTGCATCACGTGACAAAGAGGCAACTCTCATTAACAGGTTTTCAGATCTCATTATAGATACGGATTTTCACTACTTACTGTACAAAGACAGATCATGCAATAATCTGATATTTTAAATTTGGCAATTTTTGTGAGTTTCGCTGTCCAACTTGAAACGGAGAGCAGGATTAATAATTTAAATACTTAATTACATAGAAATTATGATGTTGACGCTCCCATAAACCTGATTTAGAAACAGCGACGCCCGTGTGGCTCGGCTCTTTGTGAATGAAACCTTGGATATGGATGCGGTGCGCAAATAAGCGACGGCAGCTGGAAGACAGCGGGATATTGGAGACGCTGATTGAAGTGCCTAAAGTACACACCGATTAGCGATTGGTTGCCCCCATGTGGATGCAAGAGAAGGGTTGGGAGCTGTTTAAAAGGCCATCTTACGAGCCCGGCGCTCTCATTAGCTCTAATTCAGCCAGCAGGCAACGGGAACGGTTCACTGTTTGCAAAGCTTCTGTCATTAGTGTTTGTAGTCAGATAGCACAGTAAGCAGGAAATACTGGTTTGTGGTCAAATAGTGGATAAAATTTGTGTCTTTTTTAGAAACGCTGCTCATTCAGCTTGATAGAAAATGTCACAAGGTCAAGGAGTGAAGGAAAAGGTGTGAGGAAAAGGCAATCAAAGAGAGAGCGTAGCGCTGTTTTAAGGCTGCATGCTGCTAAGTTTGGTCTGTCATGAACGGCATCGCTTTAAATGTTGCAACCACAAGGAATTGTGGGACAGAATTAGCTCCTGTCTTTATGTATAGGATGGATTCTTGCATCTTGAGCTGAACATGATAAGAAAAGAAGCACCTCTTTTTTTTTTGCATTTCAAGAAGCTATTATTATTATAACTGCCATTTATTGTTATAATGGTAATAATTTTATTTATATAATAGCACCTTTTAAAAACAGCTTACCAAGCGCTTCAGACAGGGCACGAAAGAAAAGAAGGACAGTCAGGAAGACCACTGAATAACAGAAGGCCTGTCAGTTCAAACAAACACCAGGGAGGCAAAAGTGGAAAAATAGAGTTTAAAAAAAATAAATTTCAAAATGAATCAGTAAAACACCACCAGATGTATCCAAGTAAAGAAAAAGAACAAGTGGAATAAAAGAAAATGGAATGTAAAACCACAAAGACGAGGCTAGAAGTAACAATAATAATAATAATAGTAAACAAAATAAAAGAAATAAGTCACTAAATAACAGGTAAAGGAGAATAAAATGTACAAAGAAAATAAATAAAAATGTAAAAATAAATTAGACATAAAAGGAAGCATGTAGAAGTAGCAATTTAAAGAAGAAATGAATTTTACAGTCGTATTTCTTTAGACAGGTCGAGGGATCCTGATGGCAAAAGCTCGATCACATTTAGATTTCAGTCTTGACTTTAGAGCAGTCAGAAGCTCCTCACCTGAGGATCTGAGGCTAAGAATAGCCTCATATGGGGCTAACATGTCTGACGTATAGCTTGGGGACCCTGATGGGCTTTAAAAGTGATCAGTGAAACCTAAAATCAACTCTAAAACAGACGAGGAGGGAAGCCAGGATGATGGTGGTGTCGTCTGCTCGAACCACACTTAGATACTTCTGGGTCATTCTACTCAGTTTTCAAAAAAAAAAAGACCATCTGACAACAAACTTTGTCTCTAGCAAGTCAAGTAATCCCACCGTTGGATGTTTAAGCAAACCACATTCTAAACCTCAAGCAAAAAAAATACACTGCAGTGATTAAAAAAAAAGTATTCAGAATTCCAGAGACATCATCTCATGTCTCCAATCAGAGACGATGGCAGCGGGGAAACATTCCAGCCACGTTTAAAGGATAGTGGGGAACTGAGTAATCCACTATAACAAATTGTCCTTCGAGCCGGATGCCGATTTACTGCAATAAAGGACGCTTAAAAAAAAAAAAAACAGGCCTCAATGCTCGCAGGGACGCAATCCACTCTCCACGTCAGACAATACAACCTCACCAGCCGTTTGCCTCCATGACGTTCCGACGGACAAGAGATGAGCACATGTCACACAGCCAGGACGGTTTCTGATTCATACGGGACATGAGAGATGAAAACAGAAAGCTCACTGGAGCTGAGTCGAGTGAACGATGCAAACCAAGACAGATCAGTTGCAGGGAAAGGTCGAAATTGGCTGAATGAAGGAGTCAAATGAAGCAGTTTAACTGATTAAAGGGGGGCGTGGAGTGTTTAATCTTCACCGTCTACGTCTAAGCATCTGAGGACAAGTGCATCGCAATTGTCACGCCCATAAGAGTTGCAAAAGTAAATATCTAAAAGTGAGGAAGTAATGATTCATATCACAGTGGTTGTTGATGTTACAAATGAACTAAATACTATATGGAACATGATTTCTTTCTTGTATTTAGGCAGCAAAAGGCCCCAAACTATAACAAGCACAAAGAAAAATGTGTTATTTGGCACATTTTGACCCATCAGTCCGGCTACTTTCTTGAGTGTCTTGTTCAAACCACGGCGTCCTCCGTTTCCTCCTCAGAAGCCCATTTTTAAAAAAATGTGTCCTAAGCTGATTAAACTCCCCGTGGCTCCTGTTCTTCCTCCGCTGCCATTACAGTGCTTCATTTGTGGGGGCGGACCCTGCTCTGTTGACTCCTAACACAATTGCATTTTCAGATGGGTCCCCATATGGAGGTTTCGTCACTATGTTATTCTAAAGGGAAGAAGAGTGCAGCACTGGTGCACAATGTCCAGCTGCTCTGTTAGCCCTTTGTGTTACCTAGAGGTGACCCCCACGGCGGTTTTGCATATTCATCAACAATCAGCCGTCAGTTTTTTTTTTTCCCCCCTTACTCCTGGCAAAGAGGCTATTTTTAATTCTCCTCAAACTTGAGGAGCAGAATGAAAAAAAACAAACAAGTTATTTATGTGGGTGAGGTGGTGTATGCTAATTTAGCACGAGTAGTAATTAAAAATGTGTTGCTTTTTTAACTTCTGGGTGACACTTGAAGACAAAATTCATCCCCAAGATGCATTTGCATAAACGCTCCAGCTGTGCAGAATCCACAGCTGCACATTAATCTGGAAGCATTGGATTTATAGTCGTTGTGACTGAACTCGCCTGGCGGTGTTTGCTCTGGCTGGTATGTGGACCTTCTATAGGCGCGTTTCGAAGACAATGGCGTTACTCTCATGACCAGAAAGTCCAAAGCACTGACCCGCCGTGCTCCTCTGCCTTCACAGCACCATCTGGTACGAGTTACATGCACGTGAGTGGCCTTACAAGAGTCAGCCAGCAGAGGTGATCATATGGCAGATTGGCAGCGGGATGAAGCCCAACCTCGCCCAGACCGGCATGGGGAAGGAGATATCGGTAAGGGCTGCTTTTTTTTTTCTTCTTCTTTTTACTATTCATGAGTCATTCTTTCTTTCAAAATTAATTGCTGCATAATATTCATGTTAAAGCAGTCCTTGACTCATTTTGCTCCCACACACTCTATAAACTGAAGACATTAGCTTTTGCACGATAAAGACATTAAGGAACAGCAGATTTTATGATGTAGACGTTCTTGAAGAATGCACATGAGTGAAATTTCAAGTAAAAAAACTTTCTGAAGAAGACAGTTAGAAAGTCAACATTATTTAATTTTTGCATAAATGTGCTTCAAAGACCTTAAAAGATATGTAGAAAATGTTTTAATGCCTGGCTTTTAATTAAAGATTATCGCTGAGTTTTACACACAGCTGTGAGCGGTAGTAACACAAGATAGTAGCTGGGGAATGAATTTTTAATTCATGGAAAAAAAAGGCATTAATGTGCTGATATTTACAAAGACTGTCAAGGCTGAGCCGGCTCTAATAAAAAATAGTGGATGTTGGAAATCTACCCCTCAGGTGTTGGTAATGAATAATGGTTAAAGACTTTGGTTTCCTTGATCTTCACTAAACTTCTCCTGAAACAACCTGCTGCTACCTGCTCATTCAACTTTCTTAGTCTCTTTGTGTTTGCAGATTTTTGTCACATACCATTATTAGCGAGTATTTTATTTACAAATCACACACCAAGACTGTGGAGTCAAGCTTAGCTTTGACTTGCAGTGACTTGAGAAATGTTCACAGCTACTCCAATTTCACTAATTGTGTGACTTCTGGCACCAGTTGGCTGCATTTGTGTTGAATTAGGTGAGCGACTTTCAACACTTATTTAGTATTTTATCTTTTTAATGACTGAAGATGTGTTTTCATTTCGACAGGAGGGAGTCTTTTTTTGTGTCAGAAAAGGCAACAAAACTTGATCCATTGTTAAAAAGCAACAGACCTCCTAATAGTCGACAAAACATTGATAAGCAAAAGTTCTGTTGGTTGTTCGATTGCTGGGGAAAAAAAGACAGTCCACAGAACTTGGCAGCACTCAGTCAGTAGTGGACAGAAGTTAGTATTTACACAGCAGGTCCCTTGTGGTTGTTAAATAATAATTACATATGTTGGACAGGAAGTGTGAGAGTAAAGGACGAGCCCAAGAAAGCAATTTGCAAACTCTATGGTCAAACATTTGCCTGGCTTATCATTTGAAACAAGTATTTATCTGATGTTTGCCACTTAGCCAGGCTGTTCACTCTAGTGTCAGATAGCCCAGATGAATATGCAATAATCAAACAGCTTGAACTACTGGTAACATGTTGACAAGGTAAGTCCTTGGCTGAACTATAGACTGTATAAAAGATGGACGTAGCAACCGGCCCTGAAAAATGAAGCCAACCCGGAAGTGTCAAAAACCTGCAATATCACTACGTCCACTAGTCCTGGCTACAAAAAGCCTGAATTGGAAAAGAAGTGATCACAGATCATGAAATACTGCATTCCTACAGCTCAGGACTTTTTTAAAAATTAGTTTTCATGTTCAAGTCCAGAGATCAGGTGGCCAATCTGAAAATAAATCAACACTGCATTTTTAAAAAATCATCAACATTTTGCGGGGCAAGGGGCGTGGCTGACTTGATTGACAGTCGGCAGCGACCATACAGACGAAGCGAGCAGAAGGTGGTAAATGTGGGCGGGGCAGAGAGGGCCCGCCTCTCAATTCGTCTGACCAATCACTGCTCCTATGGCTCCGCCCCCCGATTTTTGCATCACTGGCTCCAAAAATCCAAGATGTCAACCAGGAAGTAGCAAAACCCTGGCTTCATTTTCTCAGTGCAGAAACCAACGGGTGACGTCACGGTAGCTACGTCCATCTTTTATACAGTCTATGGGCTGAACGCAGTCCTACTTTTAGGGGCGAGTGTCGGCCAAGCTACGGTAACTAACTTGTTTTCAAGCCACCTGCACGGATTTGTCCTTTGCCTCACAACTCTTCCAGCGTTCCTCCACTTCAACATTTGTGCATCACAGATTAAAAAGCTTTCAGACTAAATAAATATTTGAGAAAAGTAATTTTCTCCCAGTTGTAGAGAGTCAATACGATGCCATTATTGGCGCGACGTGTGTTCGTTCAGTAACCAGGTTCTCCCTCTGATACATCTGGAGATAAGAAAATGAAACGTCTAACAATTTGTTGGGTTTTTTCTTTTTCTGTCTGTCTGTCTCCCAGGACATTCTGCTCCTCTGCTGGGCCTACAAGCAGGAAGAGCGGCCCAGCTTCTCCAAGCTGGTAGATTTACTGGAAAAGTTGCCAAAAAGGAACCGCCGCCTTTCCCACCCAGGGCACTTCTGGAAGTCAGCTGAGTATGTCAAATGAGTTAGGGACCTAAAACAGCAAAACAATCAGCAACTATTAAAAGCAGCCGCCATAACTCCACATAAATAACCCACCTCCTTAAAGAATGCACTGAATCCAAAAGCCAGCCCAGTGATGAAAACTGCCCGTGCTGTGTGTATTTTCATGGAATGTTGGCATGTGTGTGTACAGATAAGTTGACTGTCCAGTTTCTCAAAGCAGTCGGGACTCATATTTTCTTTGGTTTGATTTTAAACCATACTGGATATCTTTCCTTTCTCTCTCTCTCTTTTTTTTTTTTTTGTCCTTTACTATTGACTTGTTCCCGTCATTATATTTGATTTATTTCTTGGATGTATCTTTGCTTGTAACTTTCAACAGATCACGTCATCCTGGACTTAAAAAAAACAAAAAGAAAAACAAAAAAAAGTTTGAGAACAAATGTAGATGTTTTTTTTTTTTTCTTCTTCCATGTCTTATTTTTTTTTGTTTTGAATGAATGTAATTGTTGTACATCGCATATTGTATATTTCCATGACATTGTCTTGCCATTCCTTATGTCTGTCAACTGTGTAGACCATTTGTCAAGTGGTACCTCATGGTCTCTCTCTCATGTGTGGATGTCCGGGTTACGTTGTGTTTGACCTAAAATGTCCTCTTATTTACACCGTACCATTTGAATGTGAAAAAGCCAGCTTCCCTGTTTGTGTGGGGACGTGTTGGCCCAGTTCTTTGATGGGAGACTGTTCTCTGATCAGCCTGTGCTTTGAATATTGCCTGTGAACATAAGCAAAGATGTTTGAACAATGACAGTCTTTGAAAAAAAACGTAAAAAGAAAAAAAAAAAAAAAAGCGGCCGGACTCCCCCCACTTGATGCTGTTCTGTGAAATCGCTGACACTTGAAATGTATCTCGTCAACTGTTGCAGAACTAATTTACCTTTTAGAAATGCTACCACTGAGCCCCCCATTCCCCATTTTCCAAGAAATAAATGTATTTTACTTAAATAGGTAATGATAGATACACAATATAATAGATGCTTGATAAACTCAACGCAGTGATTTGAAGTGAATTTATTCAGTCAGTAAATCAACTTTGTGATGACAAAGTATTGCAAATGACACATTAGCTTTCTGAGTCATGCATCAAACTGAAGAGAAGTTTTAAGGATCCCGTCTCTGCAATGATGTGACTGGAAAGGGAGAAACATCACCTTAAAATGGTAAAACTAAAACTCCATGAGCGGTCAGAATAAACTTTGTTTTTTTTTTTGCCTGTTGAAATTCATTGGGAGTTGCTTAACAGCAGTGTTGTAGTCACTTTGAATTTCAGAACTCTTCAGCCTCAAATTGAATATTTATCCAAAAACACAATTTTACTGGTTTTTCTTTTATTCGTGCTGTGGATTTTTTTTGAAAATTAGTACATTTCATTAATATTTAATCTCATGAAGTACACATTGCAAGTTGAACATTTTTAAATATAGTTAAAAATAAATAAATAAATAAATTGTAGATTTCCTTTTTTAAGTAATTTTCCAACCACCATTCATTTAAAATCAGCTGAATAAAGGAGTGTTCAGACTTAGAGGCAGCTTGGGGATGTTAGAGTCATCTATGCTAAGTTAAGCTAAGCTAATAACAGTTATGAGATAATGCTAAAGGCCGCTACTGCTACCTTTAGCATTTGGCTAAAATGCTAAGCTTTTGTAACAGCAGTGGTAGAACTACAAAATCAGCAAACTGTCTCAACAACAGCAGTCGTGCTGCAATATTTTAATTAGAGTTTGTCGACATTAGCAACCGTACATTCTGGTGACACCAAAACTAAATAAGACTATAGCAGCAACAACTCTTCAAAGGCCAGTTCATGGTTTCCACGTGACCGATGCAGCCGTGGCAGGTGGCAGAGCAGGTTGTCTCATTATTGCAACGTTGGCAGTTTGAAGTGTCCTTCAGCAAGACACTGAAGTTGCTCCTGATGGCAAGTGAGCAGCTGACATGGGCGCTCTGCAGCCATTGGTGTGTAAATAGGTGAATAAGAAACGCAGACCAAAGCGTTGGTACAACCTAACTAAGGTAAAGACGCGCTACAAAAGAGCCTCTTGGATAAGAGGCAATGCGTCTGGAAAATGGAAAAAAAAAGGTCCAGTTGCTTTTGACTGAAGCTCTTAATGCTGCTAATTAGACTGTAGCACTATGTTAATGTGATTATTAATCAGTAATAATAGTGAACGTAGCATCGGATTTCTGGAGAATTTAGAACTTCCTCGTGTGTTCGGGCACCTTCGACAGACAGCACATACAAATCAAAGCACTTCCACAGGTCGGTAGTGACTATTTGAATTTGAATGTGTTTAATGATGAATTGTAAAGGTAGTGAAGACCACAATTGGTTTTAGGCACCATCTATCATCATCTGCATCTGGCTCGCTTGCAGTGTTGACAGTCACACATTTTGAGCTGGACGTCTGCAGGACGTGAACCCTGGTGGACCTGACTGGATAACCAAATGTACATCATGTAGACGTGGAAACCGTGAACTGGCCTGTTTGTTTTGAATTATACAAGAGTTATTTTGGTTGCTGAAAAGGGATATAGTTTGTTTTTCAAATCTGAAAAAGCACAGGATTGAAGGGAAGGTAAAACTCTGAGGCAAACAGTTGGTCTGAGCTGCAAACGTGTGCATTTGTACACAAATAGAGCAGAAATTCCTCATGTTCAGTCTGAACGCACCTTAAAAATGATGTTTAATTAGTACAGTAGGCGAGGACAATTAACTGCTATTAACTGTCTGCTGGAAATTAAATCCAGTGATTCCTAATTGTTTTAATTATCATTTTCAGACGTTCAGATTCCCAGTAAAGAGACACAACTCTATATTTTTACACTCAGATTTTCATAATTTTAACTTCTCTGTCATTATTTTTTTTCCTTTTTAATTTGACATTGCAGCTTTTTTTTATCTTCATCTAATGTGACGTTGTGGACAGAGCTACTACAACACTGCTTTAAGGATGAACGTGGAGCACATTTAAAATAACCTACAACTTGTATTTTTCTAAAACCCGAAACGTTTTATTTGCACAAACCTTCAGTGTGACTTCACCTGTAAAAGTAAATAACCTAAATCTGGCTGAACTTTCCCTTTAACATATCAGAAAAAAAAAGACATATCAGGATGCTGAAGACCACCCCAGGCCATTTCTTTTCTACTTCATACTGTAAATCAAACTATATTTTAAATGTGTGTTTTTGGCAAACCTGAGTCATATCATCACGAATTGGAAGCATCATTTGAGCTGTATACTGCTTTTGATTCTCTCTAGCCACGTCGAATAGATAGAGACAATCCAATCATGTTAAATAGCCATTTTCCACCTCATTATATACACATCTGCCAGTGTTGGAAAATGCATACAAAACAATCTGCTGCTGTTTTTTGGAGTCTGTCTGTCTATTTTGGAATTGCTGGGATTCAAATATTGTAAGTGGATCATTTATATTTGTACTGTTTACAACTTTCAAGTGCATGAGATGGACTATCAAAGATTGATTCTTGTTATGAAGAAAAAAAAAAAAGAAAAAAAACTCCTTCGACACTATATATAAAAAGTATGTGAGCGTTTTTCTGATGAACTGTTGTCCATTGAGCAGTTTGATCTCAAATTTTTTGCGTCAGGCTTTGCAAAACTTTTCAACAGCTTTGTTTGAGAGAATGATTGTTTCAGTATATTTATAGATTATATAAATGATTAGACTAGCATTTAAAAAAAAGAAAAAAGAAAAAAAAAAAAAAAGAGTAACGACCTGTGCACATGCTAGAGTTGACAACAACCTGACTGGACAACAATCAAAGATATAACATTAGTGCCAAGTGTACATAACAGATTGTAGACTATGTTTTATCGTCACTTGCCGTAATATCAATATTCCTTGTGAATTTTTTGACCTTTTTTTTTTTTCTTTTTTCCTTTTGAATGTACAAATTGTGTTGTGTTTTTCTGTTGCCTTTTGTTTTCTGTTCATTTTTAAACTTTCTTTTCCTCCATTTTTTCCTTCTAATTGCATAAGCATTGATGCTGTGTTGTTTCTTTTCCTTGATTCCGTCCTTGTATTGTAGATGATAGCTCCAAAAAGCTTGTATTTAATGATGCCTTATGGTCCATGGCTTAGTGATGAGTAGACTTTTTGATCACAAGCTCTTTTATTTGCACTCATCCTTTACAAAGTGTATGACAATAAAAAGATGTTTTCATTTTGGACGTTTTCCGTTTCTTTTATGTCATCTTTTAACTCAGTAAACCCCCTTATCCATGTTTTACGTTGAAGTTTTTTTTAAACACGTCTTCACAGGAGAAGTTTGGTGGCGAGTCACTGGTTACTGCCTAAACCAGGGGTGTCGAACTCTGGTCCTCGAGGGCTGCAATCCTGCAAGTTTTAGATGTTTCCTTCTTCCAACACACCTGATTCAAATGATCAGCTCCTCATCAAGCTCTGCAGAAGCCTGATAACGATCCTGATCATGTGAATCAGGTGTGTTGGAAGAGGGAAACATCTAGAACATGCAGGATTGTGGCCCTCGAGGACCGGAGTTTGACACCCCTGGCCTAAACATTAGTTTCGATCGTAAGAAGGTAATTTTCATTTGTTCTGAGTTTGAAAAGTGCAGCTTTTGATGGTGTACTCTCAAGTTTTAAATACTCGGAGCAGCAGTCATACTCCAACCAATATATACATATATATATATACATACATGTGTGTGTAAACTTGAAATCTGGCAATTAAAAATAAAAGAACACTGATTGAAGTAGCTTGATCTCATCAAGTATAAGTAATGTATGTATGAGGGAAGATAAAATGTAAAAAAAAACAAAAACATTCACATTATTGACGTAGTTTTTTAGTTAAATGAATATCAAAGCCTCCTCTCTGCGGGTTTCTGCTTCACAGTAACCTCAAACGATAAACGTAGTCGCTGAAGAATATTTCCAGCTGCTTGAACAACCTCACGTAAACGAC